TGCTATTCAAAATTGATCACAGTGATAGAACATTGGATCGAACCCAATACCTTTATTTTGCGTAGTGGTCACATTGTTTATGATTCACACCGATAATTTTCGGTCAGTGTGATAGACAGAAAACCATCGTTCACCTTCATAAGAAGTGATTTGTTTCACTTCCGACAACTCGCTAAAATATCTCTAGGATTCTTATGGAAATTAGTCAGCAGTGAATACGCGTCTGTTGGTATGAGGGAACGTTTATGATTGCGTATAATGTAGGTTATAGAATACGACTGAGTGATTCAAAGATATCGTAATTCCCAGGATATCCGATATCTCAGGTTCCTCAGCTGTAATGTATCTTGAGCGCCTATTGCTAAAGGACCTCATACTTGGATGAAACAACCAGTTTTTGGTAACTGAGTTTGTTGGACAATGAACATTTAAAAAATGAACTACTCTGAACTTGATTAGATAATGATGAAAGTGATGGAGCGACAAGTAACATATGCAAATGTAAATTCAACTATCGAATAGATCCTCCTGAGTTCTGTCTAAAAATATTTACCATTACAAACTTTCTTCAGCTAAACATCATATGAATGAGTGAGTACTGTAGAGCTATTTCATATCTAACACGCTATTACTCAGTAACGCGTACACACGACCTTTCTGGGGGTCAAATCCACCATTGTGAAGTTATTAAACTCCACTGATCTATTATTCATTTGTTCTTGTATCCAACTTCAGTTAGCTTTTCGGTACTTTCTTTTTAACACTTATATATGTAGGAAACTTAATGAATCGGACCAAGAAAAAGGCGGATGCGTGGTGATTTAGGCAACTTCTTAAATGGATGATAGAACAAACAACTTAGACTCAATGTTCAATTATCCTTATGCTCTTTACTTCTCTGCTTATTTAACGAACATTTCTTTCTTCTGAAGAACGTGGGGAAACTAGTTCAATGTTTAAATAAATTGATTTGATTCTTAAACTTTGGTGTTTCAATTTTATTTCTTCATTTCATTTTTGTGTACATGGACAAGCGCTCACAAGTAAATTTATTGAATTATGCTTTTATATGAATAATGGGGGTAACTCTCATTTCGTCTATCTATTTCGTATTATCTTACTACTTCTGTTGTTTCTATCTCTTTGAATGTAGACACTTTAATCCAAATAAAAACCAAATAACAGTGAACGTTTGATTACAGACGGATATTTTGAAAGCGAACTTGTCGTTGTCTTTCCGTGTTTTTCATACAACGATGTTGATAGACTACTTCATTCAGAGGAAGACCCAATTACATTAGGCAATTCACCGAGGTTGCGAATCATTTTAATAATGATATTAGTTTGCTGAATAATTGTTGATAGAGCTGTGTTTGACCGTGGTTTTCAAATGACCATGAGAGTGAAAGCACTATTCTTTAGACAACTCGAGAAGGGGTCGGATTAGGAGTGAAGGTTAAGTTATGAAGTTAGTAGCGATATTTAGGAATAGAGTACGGAATAATACTTAGTAGCCATGATGATAAATACATGTACAGTTTCTGCATGATTTCATATACTAGAAACCTTTAAGTTGTCTTCACAAATCCACCTACTATCTTCCTGGTTTGTGAAAACCTTAAATGTATTTGTTTGTGTTCCCTTTTACATCGCAAATTATTCACTTTCTCATTGTTATTTTAAGAATCGTTCAAGTTAATTAATTAACTTAAAACGTCTTACTGAATAAGTAATGGTAGGTTCTAGCTCTTTTTTACTTAGCTTTTCGTATGAAATAAGCTGTACAACATTGCTGCTTGAGATTTGCTCAGAACTCCATGGCACTCCAACATAAATCTTGTCTGTTAGTCAAAACTGTATATTTTTCGCTTAACTGTTTTCTTATAATTCAAAATTTCTCTAAACTGGCGCCTAGAACCCCTTAATGTCAGTAGATATTTAGGAAAGCCAGGTTGAATCTTACTGGGTTGAATTAACACTTGATTCAGGATCATGTGCACATTTCATTAATGAAAGCCAAGTGACATGAAAGTCCGGGCCAATGTGAGCATCGAAACGACTAGTTGCAGCCACCTAACATCAAATACAGTTTTATGTTGATCGACTGAAATTTTCAGACTATGATATGATAAGAAAGATGAGTGCATATTTATTTTCATTAATAAGCTTGACTGAATCTACAGTACGAATGAGAAACAGTAAAATCGGACTCTTGTATTGTTGAAAATCAGATAGATTAAACGTATTTGATAATATCGACCATTTGTCAAATGTGGTGTAGATGTTGGGCATTTTGGGAATGATGAACTAGAGATATTGACAGATTTGGCTTGCGTTTCACCGCCACCCTATAATTTGTCAACATTATAGACAAGCAATCAGTAAAAATCTATCTATAAGAAATGTTTATAGTTTATGCTAGCGAAAACCTCGTCTTTGGCACTGATAACTCTAAATATGACCTTGTTTTATCGTGAAGGAAACTATTTGTCACCTGACGGTTATTTGTGCCAGGTAAGTCCTCAGGACAAAGTGGATCGGTCAATGAATCAGTCACGGTTGGTGTGTCGCGTAACAGAAACGTGGTTGGACACAGGTTATTATATCGTATCACGTTGGTATATCAAAGATGAAATTAGAAATAATGAATAGCAAACGAATCGGAATGATTGTAGTGAATAATCACAATAAAACGGAGAACTAGCTTCGAGAAACGTAATGGGTTTGTAGAATAAGTATGAGATAATACCGAGACTCACAGCCTAGAAAGTGACGTACTAATGATAAGACAGCACTGATACCTATGACACCCAACATCGTCAACCTGTTTAATAGAATACATGTGATGTTGCTAGCAGTGGAATCCAGGAGTCATGCCCAATCTTTTTGGGACTTGCCAGCTGCATGTTTTCGACTACTGATTACAGTTGTTGCTTGAACTCCAGCATCAACCAACATGACTCAGATCAGCAGTCAGTAACTTTGTTTAATCGCCTCTAGCTCGCTTCCGACTGATTTCCACGCCACTCAGGAGTTAATATCAAGGTATGTGGTGAATTTTGTACTTTGAACGTATACCATAGAAGCCTAAGTAGGTGAGATAACATAAATTCATCAATGAATTTTCAGTTTTTATCTAGTGGCCTGCATCTAACCTGACCATTCGTCACTGTGTTAGATGAAGTGGAAAGAAAGTATTTTATCATTCTGAATACTGAAATCCCAACAAACTAACAGCATACCGGTTACGCATGTAAAATATCCCTCATTAAAGATCGTTCTAATCACCTGGAGGCTACTGAAGAAGTTCAAATTCTTTGTAAATTCAAATATTAGACAATAGTATCAGTTACATTGTAGGGTCCAGAATGTAAAAACTAACACCATTTCAAGTATACTTCAAGTGGTATTGATTTGTGACAACGAATCTTGTTCAATAAAGAGGATAAAGATTTGAACGTCAGTATTGATTAGTTTATCAAAGGATAATAATCACATTTTCATTTACTTGGTTAAATCAACAGAAATACGTGTTCACGTGATGGCATGGTCTGTTTGACTTCCACATTCTTCACACAGCTTCAAATGCATTTTAAAACACTTTCACAGGACTTTCACTATGTTTAAATGGACTTTTGACAGTGAATGAACCAAATGATGTCCATATGAAAACGATTAAATCGTTTTGTAGCATACGTGTGTCCATCATCAAACTGACACATGGTAGATTAATTTATTAATGAATTCAATGTGAAATAACTTTGATGGGTATTGGCATTATGATTAGGGGGCATTATGCATTCATTATTAACAATTTATGATGGCGTAATAGATTGCTTCTTCCCAAACCTATGTATAACATATACTTGCAGTCATATCCTTGTCTGGATGCTGTATACAACTCTAATTATAACCAATGATATCGTAAAGATACCTAACTAAAACGTCTCAACCAGATTTATTCATCAGTATTATACAGTATTATTCGAAATTAAACTTTAGTTTCATGCTGTCGGTCCACGGTAAATAATTCCAAGGAGTTTCAAGCTAACATCACACAAACGATCAATATTCTCGGGTTGACATTAGTTTTAAAGTTGACACCAGACTACGTTTTGAACTTTATGTGACACTGGTCAATCTTACTCATCAAGTATGACAGACCCAAGCAACCAATACAGGGGAAATAAAGCGAACGACAGCGTAAATAAAGTGGAAATGTCGCTTTTTCCCCCTTACGTCGTGTATTTGGGGAAATTTGTTGACAATTAGACGTTACATACAGTGTTTGAATAAACCGCATCCACAACTTAAGTTTCCATAAACTTAGACAAATTAAGGCACCGCGTATTAAAAGAACAAAACTATTGTCATAAAAGAAAGTTACAAAGTACAGAACCAGGCATTCGGTTTAGACGCAAATACACTAACTAACAATTAGAATTGTTTTATGTGGGTTGATTTTCATTATGGATGGATGTTGGTTGCAGTACCAGTGTAAACTAGAAGGCACTAGGTAGTCATGTTGCCATGGTATGGAATTTCTCAACAGTCAGCACTTCGTGTAGTCGCCTAGCTTAATGTCGAATAGACTAAGACTAGGAGTGGAGATTATCGGATGACGATTCAACAATGTAAAAGATAAGCGTTTGGCGAAAGATCTGATATCTTTCACTCGTGGGAATTTGGACGGTCTACCAACTGTGTGAAGAAATACATAGTTGGTATATTGATGGGTCAGAACTCATTGGTCTGTGTTTTTGATATGAGTTTTGTTTAACAGTGACATCAAGTGAGAATGAGAACACGGATTTAGTCTGTTTCGGGTTACATCGAATGGAGTTGGTTATACAGTCAATTCACACAGATGCAACAAGTGAAAGTTTATATAAATGAAAAAAAAATTTACCAAATTATCAGACATCAAGACAGAATTGAAGATACTTGAAAAGCAAGCTTACTTCACTGAAGCATTGAACATCATTTGATTTTGTAAATAATCAGACAATAAAATTTCCCCTTTTACCATGTTGACTTTGAAGTTTGGATTCAGTGAGTGCAAGAATTCCCGCTGGTTGTAATGCTGAAATTGTTCGTTCATGTACTCTTAACGGGTCGATACTAATCACATTGCGCATGATAAATGATTTCTGATCCTCAGATAAACTGACCAGTTGGCCCAAATGAACGAGTATACCAACTTTATGCGTTACAACTCGAATAAATGGACATGAATTCTTTTCTTGACTGTCGTTCATTGAATTTCCACTGTTTGAACTGAATATACTGGAAGCCACTTGTGAAATACTCACACATTTTGATGACATTTCTGTATAACCTGAGATAAGTGACGTATTTGTTGAATCTTCAGTCTGAGTAGCTTTATTCTCTTTGGGTAGTGAATGAATTGGTGGTTTCAGAGCGTATCAAGCCAGAAGCAGTTTAAGGACTTCTTGTGACAGATTCACTCCAATCGGAAGAGAATTCAGTGACTGTTCATCCATCATAGTGACTTGGTGCTATTGGTTTGTAGTATTATTCATGTTATTGTTTGTTTTTTGCATAATGTGTGTCTCTTCAATGGATGCTGTAGAGATTTCATTCATCTATCAGAAGAAAAGGAAGAGTTATGCACATGCCAAATGAATATAATCACTGATTTTGACAAAGTAGATTAACAACAATTTGCAAGAGAATTGATTTCCTTGTGAGATTGGCCAATAAATCACTGTAACTAACATTATTGATTAACACAGATCACTTATGACAACTATGCTGGTACTAACAAGTGACTGTGCGAAGTACTTCTGCAAGGCACAGCTGCAATAATTAAGTGAAATTAGTATTGTTTGAGGTATTCCGACCGAGATTATCCAATGTCATAACCTTAGGGAAACTGTCAAGTAATTATTTAAGCCTAGATAGATCTATTGCGGATTAGAGTCACTCAAATATATTGATCAAAATTTATAGGTAAAGAAACGGCGTTGTATAAGCGGGGTAAATGAATAATAGATCAGTGGAGTTTAATAACTTCACAATGGTGGATTTGACCCCCAGAAAGGTCGTGTGTACGCGTCACTGAGTAATAGCGTGTTAGATATGAAATAGCTCTACAGTACTCACTCATTCATATGATGTTTAGCTGAAGAAAGTTTGTAATGGTAAATATTTTTAGACAGAACTCAGGAGAATCTACTCGATAGTTGAATTTACATTTGCATATGTTGCTTGTCGCTCCATCACTTTCATCACTATCTAATCAATTTCAGAGTAGTTCATTTTTTAAATGGTCATAGTCCAACAAACTCAATTACCAAAAACTGGTTGTTTCATCCAAGTATGAGATCCTTTAGCAATAGGCGCTCAAAATACATTACAGCTAAGGAACCTGAGATATCCGGATATCCTGGGAATTACAATATCTTCGAATCACTGGGTCGTATTCTATTACCTATATTATACGCAATCATAAACGTTCCCTCATACCAACAGACGCGTATTCACTGCTGACTAATTTCCATAAGAATCTTAGAGATATTTTAGCAAGTTGTCGGAAGTGAAACAAATTACTTCTTATGACGGTGAACGATGATTATTCTGTCTATCACACTGATTGAAAATTATCGGGTGTGAACCATAAACGATGTGACCACTACGCAAAATAAAGGTATTGGGTTCGCTCCAATGTTCTATCACTGTGATACAATTTTGAATAGCACTAAACTTGGACGAAGCTACTGTACAATGCTTCTTAATTTTCGGTTGTTTGTAATTGTCATTTTGAAACAAAAAAACACTATTTTCCGATACACAGATCAGTGGTTAAGTAAAGATGGATAATAGTTAAGAGCGGAATCCAAAATGCGAGTTTAATACACTTTGGGATTCGTCAGTTGGATCTACTTCTATCCTGGTGTTCACGTCGAGACTGGAATTTATTAAGATGATGGAGTGGATTTGTAGCTCAGGTGGATGATGTTGATGGAGTTTTGTTCTCTGAGCTGGATGGTTTGTTCATGGAGCCTTCATCGTTCATCATCAGCACAAACTTCAGATAGAAGTGAAGCGTTAGAATCTCTCCATATGTGGTTCAAAGCTTATCCTGTACACCTCGATGTTGATTGGTTTTTATTGACCTTAAATTCGTCATTGTGTACTTCCTTGTTTTGGTTGTGTCTCTCATTGGTTTGATTTTTGTTCCTATGTTTGTGAGAAAATGTCCTCACTTATATCAATACACGTGGACAAGTGCTGACACTTATTTCACTGGAAAAATTTGGAAATCTTGGATAGAAGAAATTCCAAAAACATCAGGGAATTTTTATGAGCTTGGCAGTCAGGTCAATTAGCAATCAACAAGCACATTGAAATCGATTTAACTAATCAACCAATCAGGAAAATTATGCACAAATATGAGAACAAAAATCAAACCGATGGATCACACAACGAAAACAACGAAGTAAACAATGTTCAAATTTAAGGTCAACAAAAAACAATCAACATCGAGGTGTAGAATACTAGCTGTGAACCACATATAGAGAGATTCAAACGCTTCACTTCTATCTGAAGTTTGTGCTGATGATGTCGTTCAGAGGAGTGATGAAAGCTCCACGACCAAACCATCCAGGTCAGAGAACAAAACTCCATCAAAATCGAATTTATTAATTTTTGTTTCAAGAGCTTAGTCCATTATCTCTAGGGCGTTTGAAGCTAATACTAATAGTTTTGAATTCCAGAGTGTGACTTGGACTTGGATCGATTTTTAACCCGTGCCAATTGTTGTGTCTTTGACTGAAAGATTAGAGATCAGTGTCTTATCGATCGGATCAGAAACGCGTAAAACCCGTAAGAACGGCCTAGAGTTTTGGTTGGTCCTGATTTCCTGTCTAGCCCAGCCAGTTGAGTCCAGAACGCAAGTTTCAGCCTCTAAGATATGAATCATTGTATTTCAGACATACTCTGTTTATATACCAACCAACTCGACCACAACGTACCAATAAAATAGAAAATAACATTTGTACAATAATTAGCCGGAAGTGGCCGTGAATGAGGGAAAACTAACGTTAAGCATCCGGTAGAATAGAAGAATAAACTGTGAAATAAGTTACGTAATACAGAATATTGATCGAGAGAACAAATGAAGAATCCATCTAAAGTAATTAACTATTCAGAGTAATCACATATGGTAGTTTAATTTATTAATGAATTGTGGTGTTTGAACGAACTAATAATACCTTTATACTTGTTGAATGCTTGATTTCGAATTCCAAATACAATACATTCGTTTATGTCTGTGTCTTCTTAATTCAATTGCGTTAATTCTGGGATTCCTAGTTCATACGATAATTAGAATACTATATTGGCGTCGCGATGGAGCCTTCAATGGAAAAGTTAGATATTCATTCAACTTCGGAAGCTTTTGAAGATTACTTTGAAAGGTTCGAAATCTGGGCTATAACCAAGGAAGATGATGAGGATGTTAATATTGTGGCACACTTCCTCACACTCATTGGAAAAGAAGCATACAGCTTATTAAGAACTCTGGCTATGCCAGAAAAGCCTATCTTGCTTCCTTATACAACTCTCAAGGAACTGCTGCTAGACTATGTTCAGTATACAAATTTCGAATGAGGTAAAGGAGGGAGATCTCGTAAAACGATTCATGAGGATATAAAAAATTCCACTACGTTACGTCATCCCAATCCAGTTCATACTCAAGATTATGCAGACAATTCATTGAGGAGTTGCAATGCATTTCACGAAGATGGGCACAAGTTTAGTCAGTGTTTGTCCTGTGGCAAGTCCAACGCTTTTAATTCATGTAAATTTCGTAATTCTAAGTGCTTCATATGTCGTGATATTGGACAAGTTCAGTCAGTTTGTAATGCTAATGTTAATCTTACTGCAACTAATATTAAGTCTTGTAATTCTGATTCTACTGAGTCGAGTATTCATGATGATCATTTATCTTCATCAACGATTTCAAAAGACAGTGCAGAGTCATATGACAGTTCAGAGTTAAATGAAATCCTGAATTCTTGTGAGACAACAGTTTCTAATCAACCGATTTATCAGAATTCTCATGCTACTGTACCAGCTATGACTTTTCCTAATGATTCACATATTTCTAATGAAATTACCTGCAATTCTGAGGAAAATATGTTAAATGAACCTAATCATGATCAAAAACCTGATGTGGTTTGGATAGATGCTGTTTTTTCTAACGATCTTACGCTCTGCAATGACAGTCCTAATGAATTTCATAAGAATATTTCAGAAGAATCAAATCCTGATGTCATATCATATATTACCTATCCTCATAATGCATTTGATTCTTGTGAAAAACCTGCTCAATGCGAATCACGAGTACTAAGTGACCTCGAGTTTGATTACATTTCGGATGATTTCATATCAACTGTTGTTTACCTTTATCACAAAAACAGTTCTAATGTTTACTCTAAACAATGTGAGAAATATTTTTTAAATGAAGCCACATTATTCATAACTTGGGGACATAAAGATCCAACATTATTTCGTGGGGGAGGATAGTGTTGAAAATCTATGGTTCGAATTCTAGATATTAATGATTTCATTACAAAACCGACATGCTGGTTGTATACAATTCCAGGTGAGTCTGTTCTGATTTCGTTTGTTAATTCCAATACTAATGAGCCTTTTCTAGATACTACAAAGTTTTTATCTTATACAATGTCGGACAGACTCAGGATGAACTTAACAAGACGTAAAACCGATTACAAACACTTATACTTCTATTTAAGCTGTGGCGGATGTGGTGTTTGAACGAACTAATAATAACTTTATACTTGTTGAATGCTTGATTTCGAATTCCAAATACAATACATTCGTTTGTGCCTGTGTCTTCTCAATTCAATTGCGTTAATTCTGGGATTCCTAGTTCATACGATAATTCGAATACTATATGAATTCAATGTGAAATAACTCTGATGGGTATTGGCATTATGATTAGGGGGCATTATGCATTCATTATTAACAATTTATGATGGCGTAATAGATTGCTTCTTCCCAAACCTATGTATAACATATACTTGCAGTCATATCCTTGTCTGGATGCTGTATACAACTCTAATTATAACCAATGATATCGTAAAGATACCTAACTAAAACGTCTCAACCAGATTTATTCATCAGTATTATACAGTATTATTCGAAATTAAACTTTAGTTTCATGCTGTCGGTCCACGGTAAATAATTCCAAGGAGTTTCAAGCTAACATCACACAAACGATCAATATTCTCGGGTTGACATTAGTTTTAAAGTTGACACCAGACTACGTTTTGAACTT